CGTGAGATTTGCTCGTATGTACTCGAATTCCATGTTTTGGAAGTATTCCAATTATAGTGGAAGAGCTGGTGCGAATGCAGAAATCTATAAAATTTCATTGAGAATATAAAACCAATCTCTGTGGTATTTGATAACATTGATAACTAAGATTGCACTGATGTAAATAAGCTTGAAGGTGTTGAAAATCATATGCATAAGTGGCTGTCTACATGCACGGACACATATGTATGTATATACATAAATTCAAGCAAGTAGAAGATTCGAAATAAATATCTAATAACCCCACGTAAATATTTCACCTCACATAAAGCCAATGTGGCATATGAGGAAAACTCCTTAGCCCACCAGAAACAATTGATGACTTCTGCTTTACGCATGCGAACACTAATATATGTACAACCATATGCAATGTGTGAACGTACAAACAAATTTATGCACATTAGGGTGGTCATTAAAAAACCAAACGAAGGATTTTTTCAGTCTCCCCGCTCAATCGGTAATACCACGGTCACAGATATTACATATAGATTTTGGTCTCTACATAGAGACTCACAAAATTACATTTTTTTCTTGGCATTTTTAAGACGCCTTCATAGGATAATGTGAACTTTCACCCCTGTGGGACACGCCTTAACCGACTTTTAAATTTTTTGAGTCTCCATAGAGAAATCCGAACTTTGCCCCCTGTACGACACGCTTTAACCGTCTCCAATGGGGAGCAAAATTTACATGTGATATCTTCGACTATGGTACCATCGACGTAGGGGCTGAGGCTTAGGAAATCTGATGTAAAAATTTGCTTCCTACATTTAAGGACCACCCTAACGCACATATACATACATTGCTGTTTCCTTAAACAGTGTTGCCGCATCAAAATATTTTTCTACCAAAATGCCCATACAAAATCTACTAAAATTCTACCAAAAGTTCAAGATCACTCCAACCGTTTCAAACAAGGCCGATTTTCTAAGAAAAACCACCAAGATTTGAAATTGTTCTTCAACAAAGGCAAGGTAAAAAAATGCTTTGCTTTCTATGTGTCAGAAAGAGCCGTTCATGAAAGGTTCAATCACATCCGCTAGAAATATTCGCTGGTCCAAGAAAGAGGAAGCTTTATAAACGGTGGCAAGACTGTTGGTTGACTATTAGCCCAATTATAAATCATCACGGAAGTTTTCTCTCAGTGGATAAGGAATTCTTTCGGAAAAGATGTTTGTCTGGAATTGTGAGAACTGAAATTTTTAACTTAGAAGCAGCTGTTTGCAACATTTATGCATACATATATATTTAATAGAAAACGAAACTATCACAATTAAGATTTAATTTTTCGAAACCAAAACGGCAACACTGCCCTTAATTTCTTATTAATTTTTCGTCGATTTGTTGCTTTCTTCGGTAGTTACTTAAATACATGTTAACCTCTTGTTGCTATCCACACTTTTGTACCTTACGAATAGGTTTCGTGATTGACGGTATTTCTTCTTTCCTGTTGCTGCCGCTGTTACTTCTGTTGTTCTTGTTATTATTGCAGCCTCTGCTGCTACTTTTGCTTCTGTTGCCTGTTATGTTATGATTGAAATGACGTGAAGCCGGCTGCTGTTCTTGATGATGAGTTGATTACAGTTCAAATTATCAAGCGCGTTTTTGATATAACTCGCCTTTCATGCGGCAACTGAGATCAGCTTCAGCTATATGTATTATGGATGTATGGATGCTGCTTTAGCAGATCATCGCACCTCAGCGTAGTAGGCAAAATGATCGGCAACGGCAACAAACATTAGCATCAGAAACAACACAGCACAGCACAGCATAGCTTCAGCTACAGCTTCTACTTCAGCCTCATTTTCAGCTTAAGCTAAGGCGAATATCTCTTTGATGTTTCGTAGAAGTGCTTGTTGTTTACCTTTCGTGCACAAACTCATAAGTTATAGTCATGCAATTTAAATGTTGACTCTTGTGGCTCTTTTGTTTCTGATTTTGACAATGACAGGAAGCGAGCAGGTACAAACAAAAAAAAAAAAAACGTAACAAAACGACTACTTTTCGTCATTAATGTAAAGACTCCACAACCGAACAAATATGCCTAAATAACTTTTAATACATGTAGAAGTTTTTTGTACATTTATTTGGAAGCTGGATTTGCACCAAAAATGGAACTGATATAATCATAAGACAAAGCCAAAAAAAAACACGCGTATCTCGGTATTCAACTACTCATTTCGTCTAAGAATATTTTGACATCATGTGGAATTAATAAGTGGTATATCAGAAATTGCGTGGTTGAAAATTTTTGTTGTTTTTGTATTTTCCACAAATCGTTAGAGGGTCGGTCACTCACTGTTCCAAAGCATTAAGAAATTGTATTCAATTCAGTCATTGATTTGAATTTTATGCCAATAGAAGTTTATTTGATCTGTGTTTTCACAGTGACATTCCGATCCAACTAAGTAGCAAATTAAAACATTTACATGTAAACTTCTCTAATCTGAACCTCTACTAATAAGAGGCGTCCTCAGTATAGAATGCTTGATACGCAAGCGCTAGGCGACATCTCTAAGTGAGCCAAGCACAAAAGCTTGGGGGTTAATCCATTCAAAACAGAATTGGTATTGTTTACAAGAAAAACAAAAGCTCCCGCCTTTCCTCTGCCAAGATTATAGGGAGCTACTTTGAATCTCGGCACCGAAGTGAGATACCTACATACATATATGTAGATAGCTATTCTGTAACAGAAACTAAATTGCAAATGTTAAATAGAGAGTTAAGAAGGGCCTAGTGACTTACTTAAAAAAATAGAGACTTTCGCCCTATAATATGTCTCATAGTATGTAGTACACCACAGTCATCAGACAGATTGTAACCCATGGAATCCAAGTCTGGTGTAAAGCTCTAGACAAACGGAACAAAAAGAAAATAATTGAGCGTTTTCAAAGACTCACATGACTCGGCATATCGGAAGCAGTGAGTAGCGCACCTCAAATGAGCTTTAGATCACATTCAACGAAAGCAAAGTCGTCTGAAAAGCCAACACTGACTATGTACATTAATCCAGTTCGGAGTATCAACAGTAGAATACCTATAATAACAAAATATATGGGTAGGTCTACACAGGAAGCAGGACCGAGCCGAACCAAGCTTGCAAATTGCTATGAAAATATGAAAGTCTTAATACAGCAAGCTTTTTCGCAAGCGTTTCCGCGATGAAAATACAGCGGTTTTTGATTTTTTTTTTCATATTCATTTATCTTGCCTCACTCCACCTCGTTCCATGAACCAACTAAACAGATCATCCAGTACCGCAATTGTGTATTTGTAATTGCATTTAAGAAAAAATAATAATTGATGTCGTAATTTTTTAATCGGTTCTTTCATTTACATAGCTTCATTCATATGGTTTCATTCCGTATCATTCACATGACGGTGGAAAAATTAAAAAATAGTTTTTTCTCGCATGCCGTGCTGGCTGATCTTTATTCGTTCGTTCATGGCCTCGTTCATGGCCTCGTTCAGTATGAACAGCTCCAGCTTCGCCTCACTCCGACTTGCTCGACACGGCTTTCTATTTGTATGTACCCAATATGCCAATATTTGAGGTAGAGAACTTTGAAAAGGTGCGGTCTAGCGGTCAATGACTTCTGGAGCAAACGGGATGATTTTGAGGTCTCAAGGCAATTTTAGGCGTGGTTCAACAGAAAAATACGGAGGATCTTCTGAAACTCAAGAGATCTGCAGTAAGAGTTCTTATCGGCGTCTTTACAGGGCGCTGCGGTATTGCACCAAGGCTTAAATGATAGTTCCCTCAGCAGTGCTGATAATGAAGAAGAATAAATTGATTGCTTTCAGTTTGGAAAAGATAGCGAAGGTGAACACTTGGGGTAGCCCAACTGCTATCAGTCAATTAAGACCTTGGCTATGATTTATTTTTCCCTTTACTGGAGGGACCAATGTTAGAGAAATAAGTGCTTCTTATCCCGGGAGAACAACTGCGGCTTCCAGCGGAAGTTTGGAAATTTCCATACACGAACTTCTAACCTAGCCTCTTTTTTGTTCGAATAATTTTCTGCTATGACCCGTAGAAAATTTATTGGAAAATCTGGTTCATGCTTTGACCACGTTCTAAACACCATGCTCCCTTTATATAAATTATCTAATCCGTGAACATTTTGACCCCCTTCAGTTGCATTGAATAAAGTATTATAAAAATCAGGGCATGTTTGCATAATTAAAGTATTACATTAGCAATTAATTTGAGGTAGTCTTAATAGCTTGGCGCGAACATAGAAAACTTGAACTTTAAGGGTGAGTTCACACAGAAAGCTGAACGGCAAGCGAGCGAGACAAGGTGGAACGTAGCGATGCTGCTGGTGTTCACACTGAACGAAGCGGAACGGAGCGGTCGCAAGGATATCAGAAAACTTGCTTTCAATGAAAAACGGCTAAAGAATTTGTTCAATTTGTTTCAATTGCTTTCTCGAAAAATAGATTTTCCTTTAATAGTTTGATTTTTTGTTCGCATCAGAAACATAAAGCGGAAAAATCAAAAAGAAAATTGAAAATCAAAAAATGCTTTGTTTTCAGCTCCAAACCGCTTCTGGAAAATCTTGATGTATGAAAACTTTCATATGCATACATATGTAACTTCCTGTGTGAACGTACCCTAAGCCACTGAAATCATAATATACTACTTGGAAGTCTTCTTAAGCCGCTTGTTTTTTCGAAAAAGCACCTAATGGAAGATCGCTCGTGGGAACTGGTATTTTCATGCAAAACTGGGCAATCTAACGCCCAATTTTCACTGAGCATTAAATTAAATTGTAGGCATTATGCCTGCAACCACCCCTCCAGGGACTTTTTAAATTTAATTATTTGTCGTTTCAATGCCTAGTGAAAACTCGTTATAACTAATCTTAATGATGAAAAAGCATTTAATGTACATATCCTAGCTTTATTGGAGTAAAATTTTTAATATGCATTTTTTTTGTTACTCTTCTCACCCCCAGATCCGATATCGTTTCGGCTTGTACGATGAGATCTCAGATGCTTTCCATAGGCCAGTGCGTAGCTGTAATTGGATACGCTTTCTGCGTGTTTCCAGCGTATGTGATTCTAATGTAAATATGATTTGTACGAAGGTGAAAGGTGAACCCATTTATGAAGCGATAAAACCGATTACGGCGCATCAAGAACTTGTTGTATTCTACCTGCCCGAACGACCCGAAGAGGTATTATTCATGCGAATGCGAATATCGATGTATCGACAAACGATGGATTCCATAATGAAAGGTAACCAACTACTTATTAAGTGTGCTATGTAAATGCAATCCTTCGAAGTTGGCGCTAATTAAGTACATATTTGCCCATTATCTAACAGATTCACCAATCGACCTTTCCTCCTCCCTGCTGCATCGCATCTCACTACCCGTTTCACCGGTTTCGAGTAGTGAAGATGAACACAAGTCAATATCGAGTGATCTATCCGGTTCGGTGATATCATTAAATGAACCTGTAAGTGATGTTACGAGTATAAACTCAATAAACTGTGAAAAAGTCCGTGATCAGCGAACGCCGCAGCGAACAAGAATTGGTCGAAGTGAACGCTGTTTGCTGCCTTGTGATGTTTGCGGGAAGGCATTCGATAGACCTAGTCTACTTAAGCGACACATGCGAACGCATACAGGTAGGTAGGCAGTAAGAGGTGTCATACATGCATACATACATACATACATACATATGTATAGGCATAATACATATTGTACAATTGCACCTGTTGTTGCATTCCTTTCGTTGCATATGTATGTACATATGTTTGCATGCATGCATATGTGTTTTGTAGATATTTTTGATAGCCTGAAGATGCCGATTTTATTCGATTTTCGAGTAAGTAAGTAAGTAGTTTACGAGTGGCGACCAAAAACGAAATTTCTTTTATTACATTTGCTTTAAATGAAAATATTGCAATATTCTGTATTTCTTTAGCCAAAACCGTATGTACTAAGTACGACGAGGTTAATTTTGAACACATTTTTTAAATTGCAGGTGAGAAACCGCATGTGTGTATGGTTTGCGGCAAAGGCTTTAGTACGTCGAGCAGTTTAAATACGCATCGACGCATACATTCGGGTGAAAAACCGCATGAATGTCAGGTGTGTGGCAAGCGGTTTACGGCCAGCTCCAACTTATACTACCATCGAATGACACATATAAAGGTAAGGTTTAAAACATACATATTTACATACATACACGCATGAATAGTTTAGCAAGTGTGCTCTCACATAAAGGGTTAATCAATAAGGATAAGCATAACGTTCTTTTTGAAAGTATAATTTAAATTCAATAGGTAGTAACATTTTAATGCTTCAGCTTTTTTTTTTTTTAATTAAAACAAAAGAGCCAGTACATACTTTTTTAAGCAAGCCAATAAGATTTTTTATGCAAGATTTTTAGGTACATATAATTAAATTTATTTGAGACCATAATAAATTTTGGCGTTAACTAACAGTGCAATTCTGGCACCTGTCTTGCAACTCACCAAAGTCTTTGCAAAGACAAAAAATTTTCGTAAGACAAAATTGTAAATTCTGGCAACTGTACTGAAAGCTTATCTTTGGAAGACGAATTGAAAAGGTCTTAGCGTTATTCTGTTTGTCTTTAAGCAGTAAGTTTTCTAAAAATTACATTAAATAAAAAATATATATTTCGTTTTAGAACAATAAAAACTTAAAATTAAAAGAAAAATAGAAGAAAAAAATTAATAAAAAATTAATTAAAAACAAAAGAAAAAAATAGTTAAAAGCAAACGAAAAAATAAGTTTTTAAAATTTACATTTGAATAAATATATATTTTTCTTTTTAAAACCAAATATACAAATTCAAAGAAAATTTAATTAAAAAAATTATATAAAAATACGCATACGCTAAACGTAGCGTAGGTATTACCAAATAACGAAACGAACATTAATTCCTCCCAAAAGGTGGCTCGGTTTTCGTTCCGGATCAAACATTTGTGGAAAATTTTAGTCCGGACAAAGGTTCAGTTAATTAGAAAGTTTTCCAAAGTTCTAAGCAGTCTAGATATGGGATAATTTTTATTTCTTTAATATTGTTTTGTTTCTCCAGTCATCCCTGCTTATGTAGCAGAGGCAACTTTTTTTTATTTTGGATAGGAAACAACTTTTATATAAGAGATTAACATTTTTATTAGCGATAAAATGCGATATCGATAAATATTGGTACACATAATTATTATTTGAAGGCCCGTAAAATAATTTATTGATAATTACAATAACAAACGATAAGCATAATCGATAACATAAGTAAACTTGGCGACAAATATATGGATAAAATATTGATAAACAAATATACCGATAACAAAATATTGATCGATAAACAATTGTCGATAAACACATTGATCGATAACAAAATTAATCGATAACCAAATTAATCGATAATGAAATTAGTAGATAATCAAGCTAGTCGACAACCAAATTAATTAATAAACAAAATCTATAAAAATTTATCGATTAACACATTTATCGATATATATTTACAAATAGATACATTTGCTCAATGATCGAAATATCGTAGAATATATCGATATCTATACCGACATCGATATATACATTCATCGATAAAAATGTTTGCACATACATGCATGCATACTACATACATTTTTATGACCTTGTCGTAGAATTCGCTGAATAAATGAAAAAACGTCAAATATACCGATAATTATACCGATAGGTGTTGTATATACTAAAGATCATTAAAAATCATATTTATTACTAGGTACAATAAGTTCCAGAACCCTTATGTCCATACCGACATAAATATGTATATTAAACCATATGCACTTACATATTTTCACATGCCTATCATTTCAACACATTATACTAATACCCGTATTCCAAATTGTCATTTTTGTTTTAATTACAGGAAAAGCCACATAAATGCAACTTATGCTCAAAGTCATTTCCAACGCCCGGCGATTTAAAATCACACATGTATGTTCATAGTGGCTCGTGGCCTTTTAAGTGTAACATTTGCTTCCGTGGTTTCTCGAAACAGACAAATCTGAAAAATCATCTTTTTCTGCATACAGGTTGGTAAAAATCTTGCTTTTCTGACATAAAATGTATTTACACACATTTCTACATATTTATGTGTATATGTATATTGGCGCATATGGATGTAGAGAGTGTTTGACGAATTGTTTCAATAGCAATAAGTTGTTTTTACGCTTAATGTATCGACGAGTACTTATAAGTATAAGTACTCAATCAGCTTAAAATTTATTTCGTATGTAAATATATGCCATATATGTACGTACAAATGTACATACAGTATGAAGGTATGTGCCAATAAGTGTTTACTTATGTAGGTATATGGTACCTTTGTCTACTGGTACCTGTATACCCACACAGCAAATGACAGCACATTCGTATGTAAGTGGCGTAGTCCGGTGAAATTAAAAAATAATTTCTATAATATTTGCTATGAATTAATTGTGCAGCTGCAAGACTTTGAATTTTTGCGTTTTGAAAAAAAAAAAACACACATTTTTATGTATTGTATGAAAGTACATATGAGCGCAATTTTAGCTAACTTTTTATGATAAGAAATGTCTTCAAATTGCTGGATTACGCCGTTTGACATTAAACCCCTCAAGCTTTGTTTTTGGCTTAGCAAATTTTAGTAATTTAAATCAAAGTAACTAAAGCAAAAACAAATCATAATAAATTTTTACATTGACATTGCAGGCAATAAGCCCCATACTTGTGAATTGTGCAACAAGAAGTTCGCATTAGCGTGCAATTTACGAGCTCATATGAAAACACATGAAGGTAAGTTGAACTACCACATTTTTTCATTATACCAGGGCGCGCGCGCGCGCGCGCACACTCACACACACACAAACACTCATGCATACGTCATACAGTGGTGGTCGAAACATTTGGAACTAAAATGAATATTTTAAGGTAAAAACTGTGTTTCATTTGGTTAAGTTTAATAGCTTAGTGCTGAGAGAGTATGTAAATGTGGCAAACAAATTTCATTTTTCTCACTTATCTCACTTCAAAATGTATTGAATATATGCTGATATAGGGCATTTTTGAATCGGCAGCTGAGATAGGGCATTTTTGAAACGAATTCTGAAATAAAGCATCGTTCACTCAAAATCGGTACGCATGAAATGGGTTATATCTTTTTAATAGGTTTTCAGAAAATAATATTTAATATGTTAGAGTAAAGAGAAAACATGCCGTTATAGATACATGTTAGCGAGAGTTTCATATTTTGCTTGGATAAATAAATAAGAGACGATTTCTTTGATAATGATAAAAATTTTCTGAACACCCATTCTAGAGACTTGTGTAGTCAACTTGCTCTACTAAACTATCTTTAGTTTATGTTTTTCCACGGCTCGCACATCTTTACTTATTTTGTTTTAAATAAATACCATCTATTTTTCGATTTGACTTAAATAGATCATATTCGTAAATTGATGACTTCCAGAACTTTATTCGCATCATTGGCCTCAAACCGATTTAAAGTTACCTGTGAATAATTAGTTTTCATAAAAACCCACCAACACTTTGCAAACGGTCCAAAGTAAATGACATAATAAAATAATACTTTGTGCAAGCACTTCTTCCAGCATATTTCGGGGGTCATATGACCCATTGTGGAGTCTGATAGAGTTCTAATGAGACTGCCTCGATTCTCTTGTAATTTCATAGCCTTTTGACAACTGTGTCAACTTCTATAGATTTAGATGTAAGAGGATATCACCCTGTTTCTTTTTAGCTTAAAACTTTTAACGTGAGAGTTGACCGAAGTCCAGTTTTAAACATGTTTTATTAGTCATTATTATAAAATACCACATTTAGTGTGAACATTGGGGTAATGTAAACGGGTGCGGTTTTTGTTATAAAATGTATTTAATCTAACAGAATTTTATATATTATAACTCGATAAGGTTTAAGTCTTGCCATATCTCCAATTCTCTCGCGCGATCTTCTTCTGATAAGCCATTTTTTTTCCCAATTTAGGTAAAGAGCCTTATCCTTAAGCTGGTGTGAAATGATGTCTTTTAATGATTAGCTCACCCCGTTAGTTTAAGCAGAAGGAATCCATTCATTGATTTTTGGAGGATAATTATAAGTTTTTGGTATATTTAATTTTAATTTGATTTTTGATCTCGAAAATGTCGGATTTTCAACGAATTTGTTCAACATTATTTTTTGAGCAGCAATTTCCAACGCGAATAAAACTGTCAAATAAAAAGCCAGTACTATGAAATTTAAACCTCATAATGATAGATCTATTGTCTAATGATCTGCATTGCAACTTTTTAATACATTCCAACAATTGCTGTACAGAAATTGCTGGAACGCGTACCGATTTTGAGTGAACGATGCTTTAGGGCGTTCTTGAAAAGTTTTTTGAGATAGAGCGTTTTCGAACTGGCTGCCGAGATAGGTCGATCTTCCACTCAGCCATCGATAATATTTAGTTGCAAACGTTATTAACCGTTCTGCTGGTTGAAACTTGCACTTCAATAAACTAAAATTGTGTGGGCTATAAAACTGCATACTCAAAAATTTCCTAAAGATTCAGTTAAAAAAGTTGAAATTTTGATGAAAATTTGTTGAATTTTCCCCAACTTTGTATAAAGTTTGTAATTTATATAGTTTCGGTTAAAGCTTACACGGTATTTTTATAGAAAATTAACAAACAAAAATTTAGCTCGAAAAACATTACGAATATTAAAAAAAAAA